TGTACACCTGAAACCTGTATAATTTTATTAACCAATGTCACCCAATAAATTGAACCAAAAAAAAATTATCTGAGCACTCTAAGTAGGATTTTTTTTAAGCAACTGAAGTTGAAAAATTAGCGTACCACTGCTTGTCTCTGAAAATTTTCTGGAGAAGAGAAAGATCTCTGAATTATCTGTGATGATGGAGTCATGTTATCCACCATCCTTTCGTACCTGGAAAAAAAAAAATAAGAAAACCAACATATAATCTTTCATTCTACAAGAATTTACTACATACCAACCATAAGCAGACACACCTCTCAAGGGAATGAATAAGATTATCTGCTCTCATGGAGCTGGGCTAAGGATTTAGGCAATAAGAGAACTTCACATAGTTGTAAGTGATACAATAAATGAGTAAAGAGCAAGTAGAGATGAGAAAGATAGGGGCTTCTATTTTTGCTTGACTGCTCAAGGATAGCCTTTCTAAAGAGACATTTAAAGTTAAGAGCTGAACAACAAGGTTACCTAAAGAAAAACATTCCTACTGAGGGGAGGACTAGTGCAGAAGTGAACAAATTATGGCCTGTGGGTCAAATTTTTTTTTTTTTGTGAACAAAGTCTTATTGGAACAATTCCACTCTTTTGTTTTTGTATTATCTATGAAGAGCCACAAAGGCAGAATAAGGAACTGTAAGACCAACAGAGTATAAAATATTAACTATCTTGTCCTTTACATAGAAAAAAATTTGTCAATTCCTGGGCTAGTGCAAAAGCCTAGATGGAGCACTAAAATGAAAAGGATCTGATAGAATAGATATGACAGATGATGGAAACAGAATAAAAAAAATTAATCCTACATATTTAGCTTGAGCAATTAAGTAGACATACACCAAGACAGAAGGAACAGGTTTTGTGGCATAAGAAATTAAGAGTTCTATAAAATAAACAGAATTTTTAGGTCTTACACTTTATTCTTCACTTTCTGAAGAGATAACTTGCTCTACAGAAAAACTCACTTAGAAAACATTATAAATTAATTGTAGTTTAAAACATGCCTATTGAATCAAATCACCAATTGATTTGATTTACAGTTTAGACCTTTTTGAGTTTTCTGAAATCAATCATAATATAAGGAAGTAAAAAGTACAATTCTACTTATAAAAAGAATATAAAAATAATGTACACTCTAGCCTTCGATTAAAACTAAAGTACTTACTTGCATATTATTTTTCCCCAAGAAATTCTAAGGGGGGCGGGAGAGGGTGTAAAAGCTTTTTTTCTCTGCCTAAAATACCTTTAAAGGTTCTATAAAAATGGATGGAAATGCTTCAAATACCAACTATACTGAAAAGTATCTAAACACAATTTCAGAGGGCAAGAAAGGACACTAAGAGGATACCTTTTTTATATTACTGCTCTCTTACAATTTCACCTTCCGATATCTTTTCATATCTATCCACTGCTCTCCAGCTCTTGGCACCACTGTAATCCAAACTATCAACCTCACCCCAATAACTTCCCTGCTACCTTGCTTCTAGCACCAATATCTTGCTACCAATAGCTTCATAATTCATCTACTTTCACCCTTGTCCCTCCAATTCATTCTCCCACTGCAACCAAAAAACTCCTTAAAATATAAACCTGTTCCCTTTTCCTATCCTGTGGAAAACATTTCAATGTCTTCCTACAGTTCTTAAGGTAAACCTCAAAATCGAAATTACAGCCTATAAGAAAAACTCTGTATCATTCAGCCTCTGTCTACCTCACAAAGCATCTCTACTACTCTCCATTTTTCATTCATTATGATGTAGATACACTGTCCTCATTTGTTTATATCATCCCTCCTTGTTACAACTTTCCTCAAGCACTTTCTACTCCTTTTTCAGAGAAGTATTCCTTCAGAGAGTTGTAGGAATTAAACAGGTAGTCACAAAACACACGTAATATGTGGACTGTAGGCTCCGCTAGGCAGCACATTATAGCGGCTGGGCTTGAGAGCACTGCCTGGGTTTGAATTCTAGCCCACAATTTAAGAGCAGTTCAGACTTGAGCAAGTTAATCTCCAATCCTCATTTTCTTCATATACAAGGAAGAGATAATAATCCCCACCTCAAAAGACTGCTGGGAGGAATAAATGAAATCATAAATACAAAAACCTAGGTAAAGAATATGACACATGATAGGTATTTATTAACTCTTTCTTGAATGAAGGCTACTGTAACTGATAATTAGCTCCATGAATATACCAGGGAAAAAACTGCCTCCTGTAAAACATCAGCCTCCCGAAAGTGCCAAAAAAAAAAAAAAAAAAAGAGTAAATATAACCATGGTATCTTTTCTGACCCTTAGACGCTAGAAGGGATTTTAGAGATCATTCAATTCAACTGGTTTTACTTACAAATGGAAGGACAGGACCAGAGAAATGACACCAGTCAAGATTACACAAATGGCAGAGGCAGACCTAGAATCAAATTCTACAAACTCTTAGTCCAATAGCCTGCTTATTAATTGCAAGTAACCAATTAGTGGTCACAAACTAATTTAAATTTTAAAGATGAAATGAAATAGAAATTGATTATATTGCAAGTAATAAAGATAAGTCATGTTTGAGAAATTTTGTTCCAGTTATATACATGTATATGTGGTTGTGGGTATATCTTTATAAATGAACATGAGTATAGTTATATGTGTATCTATTTTAAGGGGACTATATGTAATGCATATGTCTATAATCCCCTTAAAATTGATACATAAATAATTACAATCCAATATAGCAAATAATATTGCAGAAAAACAAAGACGTAGGAGCACTAAAAAGAAAACCAAACTCTCATTATGTGTTCTGAGATAACTATCTAAGAAAATTCCTGATAAATGATTTTAACAATAGGCAAGAAATATTACCTGCTAGGAGATGTGGAGGTAGGGCTTGCATTTCCAACATGATGCTGGGAATATGACAAACTAACATCCTGTGAGGCATGGCTACTTCCTAAAATAAAATAATTTGAGAAATTCCTCTTGATAAAAAATTGTTTCCCCCACCCCAAATCACTCCAGAAAGGTAGACACAGGCTAAAAAGAAAACCTTTTGGCAGACTGCTTTACAGTTCCATCAGAGTGAAAATTCTGCTTAATAGCAGATACATCCAAAACAAACGGTCCCAAATAAGGTAGTATCTAATGTGTAAATATCAATTCTAGCCATATCTGATCCTCACACTAAATTGTAAGACTGGATACATACAAAGTTTCATCCTCATGATCAAGAATCAAAGTAAATTACAAAGCAGCCAGGAAAAGTATTTTCAGAAAATAATTCTTGCTCCTTTCTAACAATAAAATTTATGTTCTTTTCACTAATCCAAACTGAAATTTTACACTCAGTTTTAAGATTTTTAATTTAAAATTCAAAATCCATGTTGTCAATGTTATCCATTTTCTGGAATACTATTTACTATTCACAAAGCTTAAAGTATTTCCATCCAAAAAGGATTCTTTAAAATTGAATAATGAAATTAAAAACAAAAAATTAAGAAGTAGCTAATAATTCCTCTCTCCAAACAACAGTATCAAACAGTGAGTTACCTGATCTAAACTGTATTTTGATGGGCCTTCCAAAAAGTTTGATTCCATTAAGTAGATTCATTGCATAAGGAACAGATACTTCATGTTTGAAATTCACAAATGCAAACTGCTTTGGTTTACCATCCTTATCTTTTGGAATTTTCACTTTTATTACTGGCCCAGCCTATAGATAAAAAAGAATTTACAACTTAAATAAGACAATCTCAAGAAAATACTCAAGTTTAACAAAGTTAAACAACAAAAGAAATGTAATCAGGAACTCTAACAAATAAGACACAGATTTCCATCTCTATTAGAATGAGTTTACAAATGTAACTAAAGATTAACTTATTTGGAGGAAGGGAGCCCCTAAGGAACTAGAAACACAATCACTTAATTTACATTTCTCAGAGCTTTATGACTTTAACAACGTGAGCAACATCAATTTTTTCCCCCTCCATGGAAATTAATTTTTATCAACAGTGGTTTTCTTGGACCAAAAATTCACTTTTGTATGGATTAATCAAATTTACCAGTGGTTGGAGAATAGAACTGGAGGGAAGAGGATATTTGGAATTTTTAACATATTTTAATACTGCTTTCAATACAGGGACACCACAATGCTACGCTTCTACAGAGTATTTATGAGCCTATTTTAAATATCTTAATACTGCGATTTTATAAGACACTTACACGGAAAAGAGATACTGACAAGGAAATTAGAATGTAATTTGTCAGACAAACCAAAGTGTCCTAAAAGGAAGATGAAAAAAGGAGGAACAGAAAAAACATTGCTCTATATAAATGGCTACTATGGTGTACACCTGGAACCATTACTGTATGTCAACTGTAATCAAAAAGTTAATTTAGGAAAAACTGCTCAAGAAAAGACCCATATATATCATACCAAAAAGACCTCTAAATCTTTATTTCCGGAATGTTTCCTTGAGGATCCCTCCACCACCTTTAGTCCTCACCTTTGGCGTAACAACGGTTCTTTTAATTAGGCGATACCCACCCAACGCGGAAACGCGACCTCCAGGCCGAACTGGGCCACCTGAAGAGTGTCCGGACGGACAGCCACGTTTGCACGAAAAAAGCGGAGAGAGGAGTTGGGCTGGGCCCTACGCGAGCGGAAAACGGAAGAAAAAAGCTGATCCAGCCGCTTACCTGGTGGAAAAGCTCGAAAAGGAGCTCCTCTGTCACTTTAGTTTCTAGGTTGCCCACAAAGAGAGTACGATCCGCCTCCGCCGCCGCTGCCCCCATCTCAGCGTCTCCCCCTCCCTAAAAAGGCCGAAGGGTCGCCCCTGAAGCACCCACTGCGCACTCTCGAAAACCCACGTCCTCGCGCTTCCAGGCGTCACCGACGTAAACGTCAATTACGCTCGCTTTCGGCCAGCGTCGACAAGCGCTGACGGAGTGCGCATGCTCGCGAGGAGAGCGCTCGTTGAAGGCAGCTGAAGGAGTCGTTGCCGCTTGTAATGTGGCTGGCCCTGCAGTCCGTCTCCTTGGGGCTGGGCTGACCTGTGGAGCCGCAGAGGGCCTACCTTGACCGAGCGACGTAAGGCAGATACAGCGCGTAGTGTTTGAAGATGGTCCTAAACTCTTTGTTCCTGTGCGCTGGCGATCAAGGAAACAGAATGATGTACTGTTCTTCCCACGGCGACCTTAGCCCTTCGGCCTTAGCGTGGGCCATGGTCTCTGGAGACAGCGGCCTTGTGGCCAGATCCGAGGCGGTTCATCCAGGACCTACTCCTTGGCAGGTGGTACGGCAAACCGTTCGGATCGAGACCCGTCGGGCTACTGGTGGCAACTGGAGCCTTCGGCGCTTTGTAAGGGGAGGGGACCCTGATGGGCGGAGCCGAAGCGGTTGGGCGAGATTTTCGCCTTACCCGACCCCAGGGTTTGCACTGAATCTGCAAAGAAGTGTCTGACCGCCTTTGGAGGTGTATCGCAGCCCGGCTAATTGAAGGAACACCTCCTCCGCCCTTCAATTAGGTTGTGAACAGGGCCTCTCTAAAATCCTTTCTTGATGCATTGGCAGTCTTATTTTTAGAATGTATTTTTATTTTAATACAAAAGTGTGTAAAAGTCCTGTCAATATAGCGTAGCACAAAGGAAAATTTTACTGTTGCTAAATTTAGGTGGTTTTTAGCGGCTGGAATTACTCGGAAAGGAAGGAGGTAGGTTTTTTTCCTTAGTTATAAAGCTGAGCTAATGGGCCACCCGTCTAGAGGTCGACAGTCCTTTTACTCACCCTTTGTGCCCTTCATTCCAACGACGGCTCCAAATTTCTCTGCTCTCCACAAGTCTTAACCCTCCTTCCCTTAAATTACAAGTCTCGAAGTAGATTCTCCTTCTTTGAGACTTGTAATTGAGCTTTCTTAACTCCCCACTTTATACCGCACATGATTCCCTTTACCGTTACTTCTATTGAGGAAAAGGAAGTACTTCGATTTATTACTGTGGTTTATCTTTCTTCCCTATGGCCCAATAATCCTACTGTGTAGTCCTTAACATTTACCCTCTTCCATCTCTCTCCTTTTCATCGGGAATATTTACAAACTTCAATCTCAGCCATACTAAAAACAAAAGCAAAACCTAAACCTTGCTGCTCTTTCAAATTATTTACCTTCTTTCCAAAGGCTCCAAATGAATTTTTGCACTTATATTTGTCATTTTATTATTTGTATTCAGTCCCAGCTTCCTTAATCAAAACCTGTTGTCCCAAAATTAACAGAAGTTGGTCTTACAGTATCCTGTTAGGAAGCTGTTTACCTATTTACCCTAACATCTTTCTTGGACTTTCTTGTTCATCTTTATTCATTCAGCCATTCCACAATATATGAAGATATCTGTGGTTATTAGGCACTGCGGATGAGCCTAACACATTCTTGCCCTCAAGGAGATCAAGGAGTATACTCTTGGGGAAGCTAATAAACCAATAGGTAATCTCCACACAGTGATAATCACTGGTTGCAACGGCTTTCCATACTGCACTATCATGTTCTCTTACCTATGTTATCACTCCTTATTGGGTAATATTTTTGTTCTAACCATATGTTCCTCAAGAGCGATATTGGGAGAAAGTTGGTTTTGTAAGTGCCAACTCTTTATGTAAGCAAGTATACTAGCTTTTCTCTAGTGGACTCTTGTCTGTCATTATGTTCAAATGGCAAAATTACCAGACAGCACACAGAACTGGATTGTTAGAACTACATTTTAAGGAGAATGTTGTGAGGGGTCTAGAAACCAGGTCATAGAAAAATGTTTGAAAGAATAAGTTTAGCTAGCATTTACCGAGTGCTATTTGCAAGGCAGTGTGCTAAGAACTTTTATTCAGTGTTTATTTAGAAGTTCATTGAGAACTTACTCTGTGCCTGCCACTTCCTGTGCTAAACGCTTAGAATAAGTTGTAAACAAGGTAGATAAGGTCGCTGTTTTTATGGAGCATTTCTCACAACAGCCCATAAGGGACATATTACACTTTCATTTCTTTGACTGGGAAACCAAGGCACAAAGAGATGAAGTAAATTTTCCAAGGTCATACAGCTAGTAAAAGATAGAAGCTTGCAGCCTCTCAACCTGGATTTCTCATTTGAACCATGTGACCCAGATATGATTTGAGTGACTTTTTTCTCCATTCTCCCATTCTATTTATCAAAAAAGATGTTCATTTGTTGTATATGATGAATGTCTTAGACTGGTCATTATGATAATCCATGGTTGAGAAAGGAATCCCAAACTATAAGTGAAGAGTTTTAGACTGGAAAAGAGTAATAAAATAAAGGATGATGGTAAAAGATTTTCATAAAACTTAGAGATGACTAACAGTATAAAATATCTAATAAGGTGATGAATTAATTGCCCAAGGTTCAGATAGAGGGTAAATTCTTTCAAGTGTAAATAGGACTGACTTTTTCAATTCTTTCCCATTTAACTTATTTTTTTTAATGGTTAAAATTTGGAATGGAGAATTGGAGAAGAGTTATACACAGGATGACCATATTTACTGTGCAAACCAAGACCCTTTGCAGTGGAAGAGGTGTTATCAATCAAGGGGAGCAACAGGCATATTAGGGCTGTCCCAGGAAGATTTGTTGGATGATTTCATGTACCTAAGCAGAGGGTACAACATTAAATATGCCTTTGAAGTATATTCTTTAGCTTCAGGGAAAGGAGGCTGAGATTTGTAAATGAAGAAACAAAAGTCTGGCATAAAAGTGCATGAGGAAGGGAGGACCCATTTCTATTTGTTCTGGTATAGGGTCATCAGAAGTAGGGCTTTGATTGGATGATAGTGTACATATGCAAGAAAAAAATGGTGTGAAAAAAGAAAATTGTGTTGTGTTTGACAAGAGGAGAATTTTGTTCACATAAATGCTCCATCATTTTAATTTGAAGTAACGAATGCTTAAATTCTCCTTGTTCTTAACAACTGCACTAGTTTTGAAGTTATATGTTCCTAGAGTCACAAAGACTGTATTGTGGAAGCAAGAACCAACATAAATTTTTCAATGAAATTACATAATTTCATTGTAATTTCCTTCCCCTCCCTTCCCTTCTCTCTAAAACTAAATAAAATCTTTTTTAAAAAATCAATAGCAAATGCTCATCTGTTAATGTGATTTTTTTCAGCCAAGAAAGTAAGGATTTATTAAGGAGATGGTGCCATGCCCGGAGTCACATGTAACTCATGCTCAAAGACCTGGCTCGGTTAATGTGATTTTCAATGAGATTTTGTGTACTTTATCTTTGAAATTACATAAAGCAGGGACAGCTAAGTTTTCCCAAGAGCAGTCCATGTTATTACGAATTCATGTGCAAAATGAAATTTTTACTTAATGTCAGTTGTTAAGTGTAGCATAATGTCATTCTAAAATAGATGAATTTTCTAAGATTAATTTTTAGAAGTTCAAAAATTTATACTTCTGTACATTTTTAAAAACCATTATAACTTCCTGTTTCTTTGGGGTGGGGGAGTTTTCCCTTATTTGTTACATCATACTAAGCAACTGATCAACAGTTGTTGGAGTCCTGTTAGAATATTAACTTCCTCTACTCATCAGCACTAAAACTCTAAAATTTAGAATTTTAGTGGTAATTGCATAGTTAAATGGATTTTTGAAATAGGCCCATTTGGGATATAGATAAAAGGAGGCCAACTAGACTTTCCCCCAGTAGCCAGATTTGATTATAAACCTAATTCTAAGAGGGGTAGCTCAGAAGGAAGAAAGAAAAGCGGGGAGAGAAGAGGAAATAGACTTCTCATGGCCAAACGTTCAACTGCCTGGCAAACAAAATTATGTCTTTCACTCCTTTGGTGAATCTGTGCAGATCCCACTGAGATGTGGATTTTGCTTTTCAAATTTCCATGACAAGTATTATTTTCCCAGCCAACCAAATAAGTTTGAATACCTGTGACTCTATACTACCTATTACCTGTGCTCACTGCCTACATCCATTCAACTGCAAAATGCTGCCCATTTTATCTTCACAATATATTTATTATGTTTTTGCAATAACTTGCATCACCTGGACTTACTTATCTGGAAACTTAGCCTGTTTTGTTTGCCTCTCTCTACAACCTACATATATATAGCCACCAGGCTATATAGGAGATTAAGGAGACGGTGCCATGCCCGGAGACACATGTAACTCATGCTCAAAGACCTGGCTCAGTTAATGTGATTGTTAATGAGGTTTTATGTATTTTATCTTTGAAAGTATCTGAAATTCTTTTGTCATAGGTGTTGCCAAATGCTGATATGTCCATGAGCATATGGTTTTAATTGAGCATATTCATTGGAAGGCATTTACCTTACAGAATTCTATTATGCCTAATATTTTCCTTTTAGCATGTCATTAGGTTGCAGACTGATTGCTTCCAATTGAAGTTCAGGTGGAAGCTGCACAATTGCATAGTTAAATGGATTTTTGAAATACGGAAATTTTCTTTTTACGTACATCTAGGTCTGAAAGATGCTGTTAGTACTATAGTTTGAATTCAGAAAATGCATCTACTGCAAATTGTAGGTGTAGAGATCTTGCTGCTTAAGTTATTTAACAGCACAGAAAGTGTATATAAAGCAGTTTGACATCACTTGTGATTCAAACAATGTTAGTTGTTGAAGGGACTTTACAACCGTATAAGTTTAGTGTGTAAGCACTGTTTTGCCTTATAGTTTTAGGTTTACTTCATTGAGACACATTATCAAGCCTGCAGCAAAAGCTAATTTCCAAAGCCATTTAGTTCAGTAACAGGGTTGAGGGCAGTTCTTCTAACCTCTTAAAAAATGTACAAACCTTTCTTAGATGGAGGGCTGTACAAAAAGTAACAAATAGCTGGATTTGATCTGCATGCTTTAGTTTGGAGAGGATTTCAGTATCTACCAAAGTCTACAAAACTATTTAGTGGTGGTATGGGGATTCAGATTTGATCAGACAGCCTGGTCCCTGAGCCTGTACACTTGACTCTGCTATATTACTGGTAGCTAGTGGCCAAATCGAGAGTGGCTTTTGGTTTTGGTTTTGTTTTTGTTTTAACATTATACAATAGTAACTTCCAGCCAAGATGGAGGTGTTGGTAGATATACTTTGCCTCTTCACACAACCAAAAGAAGGACAACACATTTTTTAAAAAATAACCAGAACTGCCAGAAAATTGAACTGTATGAAAGTCCAACAACCAAGGAGCTAAAAAAGAAACAGTCACACAGACCAGTAGGAGGGGCAGAGATGGGCAGCCAGGGGCCGAGAGGACACGCAGCAAGGTGGCGCCTGGCAGACTCTGCTGTCCCACATTTGCATGTGGATAAACTGGGAGGAACAGCTGGGGAGCAAGACAGACTGCAATCCAGGGTTCTGGTGCGGGAAAAGAAAGCCTCAAACCCTCTGGAGGTTGGGGCAGCAGGAGCAACTCCCAGCCTCACAGGGAAGTCCATTGGTGAGACCCACAGGGTTGTAGAAGGTACACAAACCCACCTACCCAGGAATCTGCACCAGAAGGGCCCAATTTGCTTGCGAGTAGTTGGGGAAGTGACTGAAAGCCAGGGAGAGCTGAGCAAGTGGCTTTGTTCCCTCTCGGATCCCTCCCCCACAGACAGCATCACAACAGCATCAACCTGGGTTGCCCTGCCCTGGTGAGTACCTAAGGCTCCGCCCCTCCCAATGAAACAGGCACACTGAGACAAAGATATATGGCCCCAATGAAGCAACAGATGAAAGCTCCAAAAGTAGAACTAAGCCATGAATAGATAGCCAACCTATCAGATGCACAGTTCAAAACACTGGTAATCTGGATGCTCACTGAGTTGGGAGTATGGTTGCAAAATGGAGGAAAAAGTGAAGGCTATACAAAATGAAATAAAAATATACAGGGAACCAACAGTACAGGGAAGGAAACTGGGACACCAATCAACAATATGGAGCAGAAGGAAGAGAGAGACATTTAACCAGAATAGAATGAAGACTCAAGAACTCAAAAAACTGAGGAGAAGCTTAGAAATCTCTGGGACAACTTTAAATGTTCCAACATCTGAGGCATAGGGGTGCCAGAAGGAGAAGAGGAAGAGCAAGAAATTGAAAACTTATTTGAAAAAATAATGGAGAACTTTCCCAATCTGGCCAAGGAAATAGACTTCCGGGAGATCCAGGAAGCTCAGAGAGTCCCAAAGAAGTTGGACCCAAGGAAGCACACACCAAGGCACATCATAATTAAGTTACCCAAGATTAAAGATAAGGAAAGAATTTTAAAAGCAGCAAGAGAAAAGGAGACAGTTACCTACAAAGGAGTTCCCATAAGACTATCAGCTGATTTCTCAAAAGAAATCCTACTGGCAAGAAGGGACTGGAAAGAAGTATTCAAGGTCATGAAAGACAAGGACCTACAACCAGGATTACTCCATCCAGCAAAGCTGTCATTTAGAATGGAAGGGCAGATAAAGGACTTCCCAGATAAGGTCAAGTTAAAGGAATTCATCACCAAACCCTTATTATATGAAATATTAAGGGGATTTATCTAAGAAAAAGATCAAAACTACGAACAGTAAAATGACAACAAATAGCTATCAACAACTGAACCTAAAAAAACAAAAACAAACAACTAAGCAAACATCTAGAACAGAAACAGAATCATAGAAATGGAGATCAGAGGGGAGGGGGAGAAGGAAATATGGGGGGAAACATACAAGGAATAAGCAACGTATATAGTAGGTACAAAGTAAATGGTGAGAGGTTAAGAATAGTACAGGAAATGGAGAAGCCAAAGAACTTATATGTTCAACCCATGGACATGAACTACGGGGGATGGGGAGTATGCTGGAGGGAAGGGCGGTGCAGGGTGGAGGGGAATAAAGGGGAGAAAAAAAAGGGGACAACTGTAATAGCATAATCAATAAAATATGTATAAAAAATTAAAATCATACAATAATATACACAAAATAGTGTAAAGCGCAACCAATACCTGTGTACTTAACCACCCAACTTAAAATATTGTCCCACTCTTAAAATCCCTTCTGTTTACCACACTTTGCACTTGATCTTAGCCAAAAGGCAGGGAAATGATTGTTTACCACACTGAAAACCTGTGTTCATGTAACTTCCTCCCACCTGATGCAATTACTCCTGAATTTTGTGTTTTGCATTCCTTGCTTTATTTTTTAGTGCTACTTTGACTACCTGTGTATCCCTACTGTATTTCTAAGTGTAATATGGAACTGTTTTACCTGTTTTAAAATAATTTAAATAGTGTCATAGCTGGGTTAAGGAGTGCAATATTAAAACAAAAGCCACGAGTCTTTTAAGCCCAGTGTGTAAAGACACAAAGTCATAACTCAGTGGTACAACTGAAAAAAGTAAAAATAAAAATAAATTTAAACATAGAACAAAATGAATGGTACTGTGCTGCACATATTCTTCTGTGGCTAATTTATTTTCTCCACTTGATTTTGTGAACATATACCTTTTAGTGGAACATGCATTTTCAGTTACCACCGCTTCCATGTCTTATATCCATTCATTTCATACATTTTATTTACCTACCTGGCCCCTGAAGCCTTTTGTGCTTGTAACCCCTGATTTAAGATGTCTTTCCACTCAGCCATTTAAATATGAAGTTTTATTAACATAAGAGTTTGTGTCATATTGTGTTATAATGACATGTTACATATGACAAAAACTGGATAAAAATTGTATATATAATATGCTCAATCTATATGAACAAAATATGTATAGAAAAGATTAGAAGTAATTTTGCCAAAATGTATATTTGAGTGGTAACATTTTGTGTGATTTGTACTGTATGCTGATTATATTTTTATGAATTTACAAAATTATTTTTATTAGAAAATATTTTTTAAAAATTCAAATCTGTAAAATAGTTCAGTAAGGTCATTATTGTTTCTGTTTATTCTTTAATCATATTAACTTCAATTAGATTATGTTGATGTTTTTAACTACTTAATCAATTATTGCTTTGTTCTAGTAAATCAAAATACAGTTATGCACTGCTTCACAACAGATATATTCTGAGAAATTCATTGTTAGGTAATTTCATCATTGTGAGAACATCATAGAGTCTATTCACAAAGACCTAGCAGTATAGCCTACTATACATGTAGCCTGTGTGGTAAGCCTGTTGGTCTTAGGCTACAAGCCTTTACAGCATCTTACTGTACAAAATAACATGAGAGTAAGTCAAAGATAAGACAGAATGATGCCATTAACAACCAATACAAGATGCATGAGGCTGCTGCACTGTCATGGCTGTTTTACAGCAAACTTTTTTTATAAGCAGAAAAAATAAACTCTAAAATAGTAATAGTATAGTTTAGTAAATACATAACAGTTTATTAATCATTATCAAGTATTATGTATGGTACATAATTTATATGCTATACTTGTATACAACTGGCGGTACAATAGGTCTGTTTCCAACAGCATCACCACAAACACATGAGTAGTGCATTGTGCTATGTTAGGATGGCTGCAACATTATTAGGTTATAGGAATTTTTCAGCTCCATTATGTTGTTAACCAAAATGTTGTTAAGCTGTGTAGCTCAGGATGGCTATGAATGTGACCCAACACAAAATTATAAATTTACTTTAAACATTATGAGGTTTTTTTTTGTGATTATACATTGCAATGTATTTAATGTGTGGCCCAAGACAACTCTTCTTCCAGTGTGGCCCAGAGATGCCCAAAGGTTGGACACCCCTGGAAAAAACAAATGTTTTAGCTCTTTAATCATTTGTCTTAAACCGTATCAAAGATTGAATTATCAGAAAGGATAGCCTTCATGGTATTTCTAAAAAGGCCATCCAATAGGTAAGAATTTGCCAAAAAAAGAAAAAAAACAAATTTGCTAAGTTTTCTCCTGTTGAAAATGGTGCCCCAATGTAAGAACACCAACATCTAATCAGTATCTAATTTGTATCTGGTAGGTAACCAGATACAACTGGCAAGTGAGGTCTGTCTTGCTCTGGCTCCAGGCTGACCAAGCAAACAGTAATATGTAGCATGTCTTAGGGAAAGGAATGTACTCATCAACTCTCTTGAGCACTCCAAGTCCCATGATTATTGGTATTCTGCTTTATGTATTAGCTTCTTGTGAGTGTGGTTAGCAGGAAACAGTCCCAGAGAATATGATCGCATGTGGAGGCCCTTACAAAGATCTCCTTGGTGTATGAAGCCTGAAGAGTAAATCCTGGAACAGGGTGTCCATATCAGTGCTCTGCCCTTCCAGGAGGACTTACCTAGACGACTCTGGTTCAGAATCTCTTAGATCACATTCTCATATCATATGTGCTTTGCAGGTGCAATGATGATACCTCAATTCCACTTCAGTTTTTCAACCTACTAGCATGCATATAATGGCCAAAGTAAAGACCTGATCACAAGTGCCAATTTAAGTATTTTCCAATAAAATCCTACCTTTCTCTCTATTAAATGAACACAATGAGGTGTTTGTTTGTTGCCTGGGTTATCTGGTTAAATATGGACTCTGACAGTATTTCACATATAAATTATTATTCATGGCCTGCTTCATTTCTGGCAAAGCAAAAGATGTTGCCACCCCACAGAGAATTTCAAGATTGTAGAGGGGGAATTCTGTAAGACTTGCCAAATTGGGACGTACAAGCAATTTTGAAAATAATCCAGTATGTTGATATGGGAAGGCTGTGCATATAAATTCTTTTAATTATCTCTCCTTTTGGCTAAATTTTAGCTTTGTGGTGTGAGAATGGATCTGTGTTTGCACTGCTGCCATGATATTTAATGGCAGTTTCACTTGGCTCCTCGGCTTGAGTTCAGAGCAATGTGGCAGTTCTATGATGTGGACACAGTTTCTACACTAAAGCCATCCATTTTAATAAAGTAAAGGTCTAGTCCACTGAGCCAGTTGAATGCAGCTGTTGCACTGATCTCTTCTGATGCTACAGCCGTTGAGTTCATTTCCTTAATCACATTTCCATACGGGTAAAAGCATGAAGCTGCTTGGTATCTTCTAGAGTGCATGCATTCTAATTTCAGAATTTAATCAAATGGAACTGGCTTCCTGACAGAGTAAACAGAGCAAAATACTGTATCCAGACCAGCTGCCAAACTAGCAGCCTGAATTTATTTTTCCTTGCTTTGCTAAATGCATCTTGAATTTTTGAAAACATAGTCCAGGTTAAGGAAATTTAGCATTTTTGAACCAAGACCAGTCACTTCTAATACTCTTCCATAAATACATCCATTAAATTTCAAAAGTCAGGTAACAGGGTGTCCATATCAGTGCTCTGCCCTTCCAGAGTTGTTAAAAGATTAACAATGTATTTAATGTGTAGCCCAAGACAACTCTTCTTCCAGTGTGGCCCAGAGATGCCCAAAGGTTGGACACCCCTGGAAAAAACAAATGTTTTAGCTCTGCTTAATCATTTGTCTTAAACCGTATCAAAGATTGAATTATCAGAAAGGATAGCCTTCGTGGTATTTCTAAAATGAATTAAATACAGAGTTAATCTTTTTTCCACATGTCTATGGCCAGAGAAGAAAACATTCCTCTTTTCTGTTGTACACAGGGATTGTGTACATAGACCTTTGCCATATGGGCTAATCTAATAGCGAATACCCATAAATACCTATACATGTTTTTTTTGTATTACTACCTCTGTACTTACTTAATTCTTACAATCTAATATCTGAAATCTTTCCAGGTATCGTCTATGCCACTTTTGTATCATTCCACATATAAATATCTATAGAGCAACCAGGACACAAAAGAGTCAACTGCATAGACTACCTATTTCTCAAACCACTTGGCTTGTGAAAGAAGGCCTGAGGAAGTGCAGCATATATTACCAATTCCTTTGTTATTGCTAATCTTAATTTTATCATCTGCAAAACAGTGTCTTGTTGCATATGTGTCTTTTATTAACCACAAATATTTTGTTTACATATATGTTGCAATTTCATTTGTCCTTTAACACCATACTAGGGATGGCCTTTGGAAGGGGAACATGTATGGATAGAGAACTTTATTGGTTCAATCAGGAAACATAGAAATGCAATAGCCTTAAATGGATCTCACTCCCCACAAGTAGTTTATTTACACCTTAACTTCCTGGAGGCCCTGGAATTTACCCTCCCCCCAACTCCAGTTCATATTCTTAGCTCCTTTTCCTAGGCTAACCTCTAGTCATATAACAAGACTTAGCTCGGCTATCACTTTCCCCCAGAAGTCTCTCTTGCTCTCTTCTCTTCTGGATTTTCACACTCTTTCTTGGTTTTAAATACCATCCATATGCTAAGGACTCCCAAATTTAAGTTCTCATGCACTTCAGACATTTATGTATAACTGTTTATTTAATATCTGCACTTAGATGGCATCTTAAACTAAGCATGCCCAAACCAAAATCACCCCTCCTTCAAAAAACACAAAACCTGGCATTAATGTGGAATTAGTTATCTATTGTTGTAAAACAAATTGCTGAAAAATCTGGTGGCTTAAAGCTACAGTAAACATTTATTGTCTCACAGTTCCTGTGGGTTGGGAATATGGGGTTAGCTTAGCTCGGTGATGCTGGTTCAAAGTTTCCCAGGAGTTTGCAGTCAAGAAGTTGGCCAGGGCTGCAGTCATCTGAGGGCTTGAATGAATTTGAAAGATCCCCTCCCAAAGACAAGTCGCTCACATGACTGGGAAGTCGATAGTTCATCTCAGTTTCTCCAGACTTGGACTTGTCCTTAAGGCTTCTTAGAGCTGCTTGAGTGTTCTCACAAGTAACTGGCTTCCCCCAGAGCAGGTAGATAATCCAAAAGAGCAAGTCTGAAGCTGTGTTAAGGTAAATACTTTGTCGGTATTCTGCTGTTCACACTATAAATCAGCGTGGAAAAGGTTCTACACAACAGTGTAAATACCAGGAGACAAGGGTCATGGGGGGCCATCATGGAAGCTGGTTACCACCTCTTTCCAGTTGCTCATGTCAGAAACCTTTGATACTTCTCTCTGCCCCCCATAGTCAATACCAAGTCTGGTCTACGTTGTCTATACTTTGGCTCTATCTACTGTTATTGCTCTAGTCCAAGCCATATCACCTCTTGTCTTTAGTACTGCAATAACCTCTAAACCTCTCTCTGGTCCTACTCTTGTGCCATTTCAACCCATTTTCCACATAGATATCAGCCTTTTTTTAAGAATGCAAATCTCATCATATCACTCTTCAATTGAAATACTCTTTATTTCCTTTTGAATTAACCAGATGTGTAAATCTGGGCAATTTAATGACCATTCTGAGACTTAGTTGCTTTCTCTGTAAATGGTGGTAAAAAACAGCCACCTCACAGGAGTTGTACTGAGTATCA